TTTATCTCGATACATAGAGATACGGCTATTGAACCTTGAGACCTGTTTATTACGGCAGCGAACATGTATACCAAAGTAACTGTGATGTTCTACAAACAACACACTTTTGTGAGCCAGACATCTAAAGCGTGTGTTTGCGGGAGGCAATAGTGACAACGGGCAATCCAGTTTTTATACTGTCACAATACTGAGCGTTAAACAAAAAATATGACCTGCTGGAGTAAATGTTCAACAGACAATATTTAATTACCACTCTTCTAGTTATTCAGAGCAGATTTTGTTCTTAATAATAAAAGTACATAGAAAATACATAATCTTTAACTTAACGTCATCTTTGCAATGTTTGTTTTAAGTATATATTTTTATAGTGATATGTTTTTTGCATTTTTTATGGTTGGAATCTTGCAGTATTCTGCAACCCAAATCTATACAGCATACACTGGATAAAGTTGTGTCAATTATGTTTTTCCTTGAATTATTGAATATTCCATAAAATATGGATAAAATATTTCCATAATATGTATGAAAATTGGGTTTAAGTTAAATTATTACAATATTCAAACAGATCCATACATTGAAAAATCAGTTCAACTGGAATCGTCTATCTATTTACTAGGAATTACTCGTTATGTGGAGTTTTACTCAATGGGCCATGAAAACTATACAGTCTGTATAGAAACAGTCCTTAAGGTTCAGTTTTAGAGTTCGACCAATTACGAGTGTCTAAGGCTGTCTACAAGGTGTCACCAAGAATGGATATAAGACGAGAAACGTTTGTATGGTGTAGTGTAATTTATTATTCGACTCTAACGTATCTCGTGTATTAAAAGGCGTTATTATCTTGTGATTTCGAATAATGTGAAGATTATCTGTATGTATGTTTGTTTAATACACGTGCACTTGTTCCCAATTATCAGATATATGAACATTACGAAAACTATTGAATTATAGGGCGAGCACTCCTGGAATTTGTCTCTTCTTATGATCGCTTTGTTTTTCCTTCATCCTACAAATACTGTGTAACAAATTCTATCAATTACAAGCAGCATTTTTACAGATTCAGATTTTCAAAAAATTCTTCAACTCCAAAGCAAAGAGCCAGGGTATAAATGTTTTTAGAAGGTCGTTATCATTCCTAATTTTTAGCATTTTCTGGAAGTGAAATGTGTGATTTCCTATCACGTGGCTTTGAATAGCGACATAGAAGCGTCATTGTGACAAATGTTCTGTTTTTACGGTTACTCTGATCGAGCATAGTATTTAGTTACAACGATGTTTTACGGTAATGATAATGTTACGCGCTTTGCCTCGTGAGTAGGTACACATCTTTATGTCACAAGTGAACGGACCGCCCTAAGGGAGTCATATCTACGACATGTTTATTTTAACGGAAATTAAGTATCAGTGAATTGCCTGACATCACGTGAATTTACTTGTGATTTACCCCAGGGGTTGTAAGGATACCTTTACAGTTTCGACATCAAGATTCAGCTTAACCTTTCTAAATGATCCGGAGAACCAAATCTTAATACTTTTCGTTTTATCCGAAATCCAATATGGACGTCATTTTGAAAATCACATTATTCTGAAAACATGAAAGGACCAATTACACAGCAAGGATTTATTTTTTAAATCTTTATTAAAACCTTTATAATGGGGGTAAAAAGACAAACACAGAGAAACTGTGTACTGCTACCATAGAATTATCTAATAGGATCCAAAATAAAAAACGTGGAAAACAGCATCTAAATTGGCCCGCCTAGTTCCGAGATATTGACGTGTAATATGTGCGATTTTCACCCGTCCTCTTACTACTAATCAACCACAGGGGTGGCTCGCGCTGAATGAGGCCCTATCGGTTGTGACGTCATAAGTTTAACGCCTTGTAGAAGTCGCCATGGAGATAATAGTGGAGGTCGAGAACAGCTATGCTATGCAACGTTAGGATGCAAATGAATGTGTTGTATTTTTGACGTATTTGATAATTCTGACGATAACATTTTGTATACAGTAAATAGTCTTATAAAATTTGCTTGAAGTGGTCAATTCCAGCATGTTAATTGCCAACATTAGAACGAGGGATGACGCACCACTTATATATGCAATTATATTTGGAAACAATAACTATTATGTAAAAAAAGCAATTTCTTTAAAAATTTAGCACTTTAAATACAACCTACAGAAATAAATGAATATATCACGTAAGTAGCTAAACTTACACACGATGGAAGCTTCCTGGTATATTCCTATAGGGCTGTTTCGACAGCATTGAACACGTGACGTCAAGGCGATCGCCGTTGCGTCAAAGGTGTACATTTAAATAAATCGCCACATCTCGGAAACGGAACTTAATACGACGTCTGCACTTCTTTGTCTTTTATTGCATGATATAAGTATTTTCTAGGTTTGCATAGAAAAATACTCAGGATCCACTTTCAGTTAACACAAACACTAAAGAAACTTTTATTTGCTGACATCAACGAAGGTTACAAGTAAGACTTTTCTATAATCAAAGGGAAACAACTCTTATAGTGCGTTCTTTAGTTACACGCGATTTATCGCATTGATTGTAACATCGCTGGAAAGATATACACAACAGATTATAAACATTTCAGCAAAACATGAAATATCCTTACTTTTGAACCTTAGACAAGACATCGTACAATTCTTTTACATGTAGTTTTATCACATTTAAATTACGAAAAATACATGATGGTTCCTATCTTTCTCATTCCTTATAGAGGTGCAGTCATCGAGACAACAAGCATACTTTTCTGATTGTGATGTAAAAACTTTTGTTCTGTTTATGACCTTCGTCGTGTGGTGTGTCATTTGTTTCAGTAATGCATGCATGATTTACGAGAGGAGTTATAGCCACGCGTTCTCTGTTTACACCATACTCTATTCCATCGTCAAATTCTATTTGCAAGGCTGCCAATAAAGTATTGACAAATGGAATTATCTTATTATTAATTTGTGTTTTGGAAGTCTTTACGGACCATCGCCACAACAAATAGTCTTTTAAAGTCGAACGGCACCAAGAAGAGTAAATCACAAAATGTATTTTTTGTACAAAATATCAATAGCAGACAAATATATCATAAACGTGTTTTATCAGATAGAACGCCATAAAATCTGCAACGTACTTTTCTTGTTGTTCAGTGATAGATTGATAACACGCAGTCGATAAAATCAGTATCATTGTTGATGAGTAAGATGTGTCGTTTAGGCATGTTCTATGCACAATCAGGAGAGGACAACTTCTGACAGATAGTCAGCAACTGTCATTACATCGTCGCCTTTGATTCTACAAGGAACATATGTTAACAATAATCATACAATAATCAGTCTTTTCAGTTTAAATCAAATCTTCTTTACTGAAACAAGTCAATGGGGAGGTGCATCAGGATTACCCTATCTAAAGCCTTTCAATATCAGCTAATGAAAATTTCATAAGACAGTTTCACCCATAAACATGTTACATAAAATACATATTCAAGAAAATAGGTCGCGATGCCATATTATTTGTGTCTGTATTGAAAAAATGAATTCAAACATATTTGGCAATCAAAGCTTTATCTTCCCAACAGAAGGCTCATTTAAATCGATAGTTATACTGTACAATGTGTTTTATAACAATAGACAACCAAAATGATTAAACAGATGGGGTGTGTGGCTGACACGTGTAGTTTGATGGTAAGATCTTCCCACTGATTATTGACATACCTATAGGAACTTATTAAATCCATTGTTTTTGTGTACTTTGTTCTCATTTGAAAAGTGTCATTACCTTCTTGAATTAATCAAGATTTAAATGACGGGTGACGTCAATGAAGCAGAAGACGCTTACTCTTCTGGAGAACCTGGTCTTATTCTCTTCATGTCTTCATATTTTGCTCTAGTTTTGTTGAATTTGAGTTTTAATTAGGATTATGTTCTCAAGTTTGTGTTTTCTTGGGTGGTATTGTAAACAACATTGCTTTTTATCCATGTATATAAATCGTGACTTTTATTTTTGTGTAGTTAGCTTGATTTATACAATAAGGAGTTATTTAGTACTCTCAGTCGTCGCCCCTCCAATCATACAGTTGGATGCAGTAGACTCTATGTTTGGTTTTTCCGATGTCAGTAGACTATGAATGTATCTTGTTGTTTTATATAAGATACCGAATAGCCGGCTATTTCGCGGGTATGATATTTCCGCTATTTCCACGTACATTAAAATGATCGCAAAAATTCAGTCACTGAAATAATCAATTACGCGTGTATGATATATCATTTTATACAATTTTTTTTTAATTCGATAAGAAATACTTCAGTCGTTTTGGGAGAAAATCTCAAAAAGTTTGACCAGTGAAAACTATATAGATATTTCAAATGTTGGCATTAACAAGTGTTGTTAATATTGTATACAATAACGTTATCTATTGTAGTGTTGTAGCAATTCAGATCGGTAGTACTATGCTGTAACGTAAGTATTATAAGAACGAGTATTACCACATGTCTCTAACTTCTTTTTAAGTTTAGATTTTGTATATCGATTGCAGTTACTCATACCCGCCTTCTTTTTCCTGATATTTTAAAACCTACAAGTAACTTCCAAACTGCAGGTCGTGAAATTAACCGTGACAGTGTTTCTCCTAGTTGTGAAATATTTGAGCACGATAGCGTGTATATAAGACCTGAAGCTACGCACAAAATACATAAAGGAGAACCAGGCCACGTAAGGCAAATTGCTGATAACGAATGACCCCACGTACACCAGGGGAGGTAAGACTACTATGGCGTTAGACTTAACAATATTACGGGACAACAAACGACAGCTTCCACAGTTATGGTCCTCGTAATCGTCACATTGTGAGGATTTTACATAATATTAACAAAACACGTATGTTGGTAATCGATATTTACATCACCTTAATACAATATGTTTTTCCCTGTCATGAAATGCTGCATGTTGTTATTATGGTACATTTCAGATCACGATTCCTTAATTCAACATGCCGACAGACACATGCGATTCAAGGATACCAGTTGACAGAGGCTGGGCGTGGATGGTATTGGCTGGTGAGTGACGTAAATGTCTACAGTGTATGTATTCGTACGTAGGTATGTTGATAGGTAGATAGGTAGGTATGTCGATAGGTAGATAGAATTCATTCCAAAATATTAGATTAATAAATCGTGACATATCATTGGGCCAGTAAACCTTCTCATCTAGATTTTTGCAATGTATTCAATCACATTGGATTTGCCTCAGTCGCTTCATCGGTTTTAATATTTTGGCGCCAATTGCTGACGAGCCCTAGAAGGACAGAACATCTGTATCATGCAGTTTAATTTATCATTTGGCTCATCTGTTGTATTGTTGTAATGTATTTTGTACAGTCTTTATTGTGTGTTCAGCTAGGTTTAAAAACAAGTTCTACTAGTATAATATGGTTGGTCTTCACGTACCAAAATATGCGACAGAGGAAATCAGAAACATGTGACTATAGATAACAGAAACTAACCTGGAGTCCATTCCCGAGCGAAGGTCTCTGTGTGTTAACTGAGTTGTTTATGTGGATATGTTTATAATGGAATAGTTATGTGAATATTGTTTTTTTCAATGATAAATTAAAAACAAAAAAGAGACTTTACTGTAGAAAATGTTTCTCACATTGCAGGTTCGTTCATGATATCCACTATCAACACTGGAACCGAGAAATCATACGGAATCTTCTTTATTGAATTTCTCCGAATGTTTAAAGGCACAGTGTTCATGACGGTAATGATCAACACTGTCTTGAATGTGGTATACTGCTTCACAGGTAGGTTCAAATGTTAATTATAAAACGTCTTAAAAGGTTGGCGCACAAGTCTACCTTTGAAAGTTTTGTTTAAAATTGTGACATTGTGTACTTTTATAAACATATACCAAGCTTGTTACAAGGATTAAAATTGGGCTGCATATTTCACAAAACGGTCGCAAGAACATTAAATAGATTTTTAGAAACATAAATGGTAAATTTCTGAATAGTGAATCACCATTGTTAACTTGTACAAGTCCTGATGAAAGCTACTTGAGTTTGTTTTTATAAGGTTTAATGTCTCCAGGATAGTCAGAGTCTTAAAAGCGGCAAGAAAGAAAGGAAGGGACAAAGATCCCAAATATTGTAATAAGGGCAGCAAATCTGGTCGGTCAAATATTAGGTGACGAAGTTCGCAGACGTAGGCGGATTCAAAAACTTATTTGCAAAATTCAGAAGAAAAAAAAAAAAAAAAAGATGGACTGACGATTTACAGTCTGCAGAGTCGACTAACAGTGAAGTTCCTTTTGGTTTCAACTTTAATTGATTTTACAAGGAAATGACCTTCAGACAGAAATATTTAATTGAAATGACTAGAAAACATTTCATTAGCTGTCAACTAAGAATGACATACAATGTAATCCATTTTCAGCTGCTTCCGTGTTGCTGATAGGCTTCAAGCGACTCAGTATCAGAAAGTCGGTTTTCCTTGGTATAATCCTAAGTGCTATTGGATACGGCATCAGCAGCCTTGCTACAAGTCTAGAATTTCTTATTGTCTCGCAAAGCATTTTGATAGGTGGGTAATTATTTAAAAAAACTGTATAATCCTATCTTGATGATTCAAATTCATGTAACGAGTTTTTAACATGCCAAGCTAAGTTTTGATTTATTTGAAAAGTGAAAAAAAAGTGCAGAATACTCGTGTGTACTTGATATGTTTGCAAATTACAAAAAAAAAAAAAAAAAAAAAACTATTGAAATTATAGGATGATAGTCGATATTCAAAAAATTATTCCGGCCATTTTCGAGTTCTCTTGCATCATTGGCGAGCCTCAACAAGAATTGATCAACTTGCCAAACCATCTATAACTCTAATTCTAATTGATATTAATAAACGCTATTGGCTGTTGCATCTTTAGAGAGATCTGGTCTATCATAAGCATTCTTTCAATATATAAGATAAAAGATGTAAGAAATATTTCTATTTGATACAAAAGTCTCGTCAACCTTGTGTCACATGTAAGTGACGGTCTTCTAAACATTATCCTACAGAAGATAATTTATTTATTTTATAAGATTAAGGTTCTATCCATTGTTATAGTATCTTGATTTGGTGCTTGTGAGTTTTCGTTGACATTTTTACATTATGAATTAATTTAAATTTTAAAATTTAATTTCAGGAGTTAGCATTGCCTTTTATAACCCACCTATTTACATTCTTCTTGAAGAATATTTTGACAAGAGAAAAGGTCTAGCGAATGCACTTTTTCTATCTGCGAACGCTCTAGGCGGAATGATAATGCCACCATTATACCGTTATGTATTTGATGAATATGGATTGCGTGGAGGACTTATAATCACTTCTGGTATAATATTAAATTCTCTGGTGGCTGCAGCGTTGCTTCGTCCTACTGAATTCTACACCAAAAAAGCCTCACAAAAATCACCCAATGTGAATGGAAATGTAAGCGATAATTTTTCTGTAAGGAAACGGAAACACAGTGAAACGAATTCCAGTCAATATCATGAGCCCGATACACAACATTCCTTACTTACAGAGACGGAAACCACACAAACAGATGATATTAATGATAGCGTTGATAAAACATCTCAATCCAGTATTTATAGATATGTGAGTAATGGAGACATAGTGTCTGTTTCTTTGACTAATCTGAGAGATACAATAGATCAACAGGACGTGGAGACAAACAAGGGAGATAAATTTACTTGTGGACACTGTCAAGTTACGTGTAGTAAAAAAGTGGATTGCTATTTGATGACAAATATTCTTTTTCTTCTGTTTTTGGCCATTTACTGTTTCGGAAATGTAGCCATTATGTGTGCTCACATTTATTTACCAACATATGCTGAAGATATTGGCATTGGTGATAGTCAAATTGCTCTCATTGTCTCTGTAACGTGTATGTCAGACTTTGTCGGACGAATTATAGCTGGACATCTGGCAGATAGGCCTTGGATCAGCGCACAGCAGATCATCATTTTATCACAGGTAAGTTACGTGATGAGGATACCAGAATATTGTAAAAATTTTAAATGAAATGTGTTGGTTACTGTTTTGCCATTGAGATATCTTCTTAGCTTTGTTCCTTTGCACCGTTTTCTGTCTGTGTACAAATCTTTAGCAATTTTAAACTGAAATACCTCATGCTTTAAGTAATATTTTCTTTATGAAAATATGTATATAAAAGGCACACGTAGATTTAGTTCAAAGAATGACCAATCCGTTATTTTTCGGGGGACCACATGCCATGTATGATGCAGTTTAATTATTTATTGGGCTCTATTAATCTTATTCTTAATATCGATTGAAAGGTGTAATTTGCTTGTGTCTCTTGTTCAGTCTAATTCTATATTTATATTAAAAAGTGTTCACTGGTGTGTCTTTTGTTCACACTTGTTTGCCACTACAAGTGCATGTTCAGCACTATGTTTTCACTTTGCTTGAAGGTTGTTGTGGGCGTGATCCTGCAGTTCACTGTGTACTACACCTCCTTTTGGCGCCTGTTGGTGTTTGTCGTGTTATTTGGCTTTACTGGTGGGATGATAGTCGCCTTGTTCCCGCCAATGCTGATAGAGATCGTCGGAAAGAAACGATATCGCAGTGCCATGGCCGTATTCATCATATGTATTTGCTTGTTCGAAGGAACTGCTTTACCGGTTTTAGGTGAGAACTAGTTTGACCTTATTTATCCGTTCACTTTGATTTCTTGTATCTGGTTGACGACAAGGAATCAGTCAACTTTAATTTCTTTTTCTTTCTATCTTACAGTTTCATTTATAACACGTTTACCTGACAGAATCTCAGTAATTATCTATCCACATTGGTGAAAAACGATAAATGCCTTGCCATTTATTTACATCTGAATGATCTTTAGGTTTTCAAGATCAACGTTCGCATTATAACCGAATTCGGCATTGGAAAAAAACACTTCTTCGAAGAGCCAAGTAAAATGTACAAAGCACAACATAATGTGACACAATGAAGATGACGTGAACACGGTAGCACAATACTTTATCTTCATATTGTCACTAATGATTAACACTACCTCTTCACTGCTGTTTCGGTTTGGTGGCAGATCTAATAACATCCTTTGCTTATATACATGGTCAGAGGTCATGAAAATCGTCAGTATTAGGTATGCAAATTTATTGTGGTATTGCAATTTAATACCTAAGACATCAAATAATGTATAAAAAATGATGAGTTGCGGGCTGCCACTGAACAAATCTCTTTACATAAATCATCAGCAACAATTGGATTATTGCTGTAAAAATGTAAAAACTTGGCAAATTTTATCATAACTGAACAAAGATCTTTCATTCTTAAAAAAACATAACGTGACGTTTACACGTTCAAAGTTTTCAAAAGATGTTTGTATGAAAGTATCGTCGGTGATGCACATAAAGTATTTTCTTATTCTCAAAGGACGATATGAAAGAAACCGCTTGTAATGCATAACAAATATTTCATTTTAGGTTATTTTCGTGATGTCACCAACACATATCACTTCACATTCCACGTCATGGGAGCTTCCTCGTTCATTGCTGTTGTGCTGCTAATTATATTCGACATAATCTCAAGGAAACAAGCACGCAAGAAGAAAGAATCTGACACAAACACTGGAACCAATCTCAGTCCGTGATGTAGTTTTCTACCGAATCACTGCTACAGTTTTATTCGTAAAAGGCTGCTTAAATACCGAATATGCCTCTGTAAAAATCGGCCAATTATTCAACAACTGGCAATCTGTTAGAAACATGTACCATTTACATTATATTAATTCAATATTCACCTGTATCAATATCACTCTTATAAATAGCACGAGCTTTGTTTTATAAAAGACTATTTTATATGTAAATACTTATTCTTTATTTTGTTTATTATCGGCATTCCTTGCAATAGATTGTGTAATACAAGGACAGGTGTCTAGGGAGTACCAACAGATTGTGTAAAACAAGGACAGGTGTCTAGGGAGTTGCCAACAGATTGTGTAATACAAGGACAGGTGTCTAGGGAGTTACCAACAGATTGTGTAATACAAGGACAGGTGTCTAGGGAGTTACCAATAGATTGTGTAATACAGGGACAGGTGTCTGGGAGTTACCATCAGATTGTGTAATACAAGGACAGGTGTCTAGGGAGTTACCAACAGATTGTGTAATACAAGGACAGGTGTCTAGGGAGTTACCAACAGATTGTGTAATACAAGGACAGGTGTCTAGGGAGTTGCCAACAGATTGTGTAATACAAGGCCAGGTGTCTAGGGAGTTACCAACAGATTGTGTAATACAAGGCCAGGTGTCTAGGGAGTTACCAACAGATTGTGTAATACAAGGACAGGTGTCTAGGGAGTTGCCAACAGATTGTGTAATACAAGGACAGGTGTCTAGGGAGTTACCAACAGATTGTGTAATACAAGGACAGGTGTCTAGGGAGTTACCAACAGATTGTGTAATACAAGGACAGGTGTCTAGGGAGTTACCAACAGATTGTGTAATACAAGGACAGGTGTCTAGGGAGTTACCAACAGATTGTGTAATACAAGGACAGGTGTCTAGGGAGTTACCAACAGATTGTGTAATACAAGGACAGGTGTCTAGGGAGTTACCAACAGATTGTGTAATACAAGGACAGGTGTCTAGGGAGTTACCAACAGATTGTGTAATACAAGGACAGGTGTCTAGGGAGTTACCAATAGATTATGTAATACAAGGACAAGTGTCTATTGAGTTACCATCAGATTGTGTAATACAAGGACAGGTGTCTAGGGAGTTACCAACAGATTGTGTAATACAAGGACAGGTGTCTATTGAGTTACCAACAGATTGTGTAATACAAGGACAGGTGTCTGGAGAGTTACCAACAGATTGTGTAATACAAGGACAGGTGTCTAGGGAGTTACCAACAGATTGTGTAATACAAGGACAGGTGTCTGGAGAGTTACCAACAGATTGTGTAATACAAGGACAGGTGTCTAGGGAGTTGCCAACAGATTGTGTAAAACAAGGACAGGTGTCTAGGGAGTTGCCAACAGATTGTGTAAAACAAGGACAGGTGTCTAGGGAGTTGCCAACAGATTGTGTAAAACAAGGACAGGTGTCTAGGGAGTTGCCAACAGATTGTGTAAAACAAGGACAGGTGTCTAGGGAGTTGCCAACAGATTGTGTAAAACAAGGACAGGTGTCTAGGGAGTTACCAACAGATTGTGTAATACAAGGACAGGTGTCTAGGGAGTACCAACAGATTGTGTAAAACAAGGACAGGTGTCTAGGGAGTTACCAACAGATTGTGTAATACAAGGACAGGTGTCTAGGGAGTTACCAACAGATTGTGTAATACAAGGACAGGTGTCTAGGGAGTTACCAACAGATTGTGTAATACAAGGACAGGTGTCTAGGGAGTTACCAACAGATTGTGTAATACAAGGACAGGTGTCTAGGGAGTTACCAACAGATTGTGTAATACAAGGACAGGTGTCTAGGGAGTTACCAACAGATTGTGTAAAACAAGGACAGGTGTCTAGGGAGTTACCAACAGATTGTGTAATACAAGGACGGGTGTCTAGGGAGTTACCAACAGATTGTGTAAAACAAGGACACTAGGGAGTTACCAACAGATTGTGTCTAGGGAGTTACCAACAGATTGTGTAATACAAGGACAGGTGTCTAGGGAGTTACCAACAGATTGTGTAATACAAGGACAGGTGTAGGGAGTTACCAACAGATTGTGTAATACAAGGACAGGTGTCTAGGGAGTTACCAACAGATTGTGTAATACAAGGACAGGTGTCTAGGGAGTTGCCAACAGATTGTGTAATACAAGGACAGGTGTCTAGGGAGTTACCAACAGATTGTGTAATACAAGGACAGGTGTCTAGGGAGTTACCAACAGATTGTGTAATACAAGGACAGGTGTCTAGGGAGTTACCAACAGATTGTGTAATACAAGGACAGGTGTCTAGGGAGTTACCAACAGATTGTGTAATACAAGGCCAGGTGTCTAGGGAGTTACCAACAGATTGTGTAATACAAGGACAGGTGTCTAGGAAGTTACCAATAGATTGTGTAATACAAGGACAAGTGTCTATTGAGTTACCATCAGATTGTGTAATACAAGGACAGGTGTCTAGGGAGTTACCAACAGATTGTGTAAAACAAGGACAGGTGTCTAGGGAGTTACCAACAGATTGTGTAAAACAAGGACAGGTGTCTAGGGAGTTGCCAACAGATTGTGTAATACAAGGACAGGTGTCTAGGGAGTTACCAACAGATTGTGTAAAACAAGGACGGGTGTCTAGGGAGTTGCCAACAGATTGTGTAAAACAAGGACAGGAGTCTGGGAGTTACCAACAGATTGTGTAAAACAAGGACAGGTGTCTAGGGAGTTACCAACAGATTGTGTAAAACAAGGACAGGTGTCTAGGGAGTTACCAATAGATTGTGTAAAACAAGGAGAGGTGTTTAGGAAGTTACCAATAGATTGTGTAAAACAAGGACAGGTGTTTAGGAAGTTGCCAACAGATTGTGTAAAACAAGGACAGGTGTCTAGGGAGTTGCCAACAGATTGTGTAAAACAAGGACAGGTGTCTAGGGAGTTGCCAACAGATTGTGTAAAACAAGGACAGGAGTCTGGGAGTTACCAACAGATTGTGTAAAACAAGGACAGGTGTCTAGGGAGTTGCCAACAGATTGTGTAATACAAGGACGGGTGTCTAGGGAGTTGCCAACAGATTGTGTAAAACAAGGACAGGTGTCTAGGGAGTTGCCAACAGATTGTGTAAAACAAGGACAGGTGTCTGGAGAGTTACCAACAGATTGTGTAATACAAGGACAGGTGTCTAGGGCGTTACCAACATATTGTATATAATAAGGACAGGTGTCTAGGGAGTTGCCAACAGAATGTGTAAAACAAAGACAGGTGTCTAGGGAGTTACCAACAGATTGTGTAATACAAGGACAGGTGTCTAGGGAGTTACCAACAGATTGTGTAATACAAGGACAGGTGTCTAGGGAGTTACCAACAGATTGTGTAATACAAGGACAGGTGTCTGGAGAGTTACCAACAGATTGTGTAATACAAGGACAGGTGTCTGTAAACTCTTCTTCATCTTTAGTTACAAGTTCTAACGTAAAAAAATGTAACGGGGCGGAAATAAGGCGCAAATTGTTGCATTACAGATCATTAAAAAATATTGAACACATGACATCACATTCAAAAGTGAATATCTGGAAATGATCATCATGTATAATTTGCCAATGTGCGGTTGATACATAATAACAAGGATCACTCGACGCCGGAATACCAGTATCGGGAAGACAACAGCAATGGTGGTATGAAGATGTGTTTATGGATCGCTAACAGCAAGGTCATATGAAGATCGGTTGTAGGGGGACAGCGACAGCAAGGGTCGTATGGAGACGGATTTGCAGGGAGACAAACATCAGGGTCATAGAAGGACATCAATAGCAAGGATCGTATGTGGACGGGTGTCTAGAAAGACACAACATTGTGAGCAAGTGTCATCAATTAAGACAGTTGTCTAGGGAGACACCAACAGCGTTTGTGGGTGAAGACGGATGTCTAAAGCCACAACATTGTGAGCTAGGGTAATGAATTAAGACAGTTGCCTAGGGAGACACCAACAGCATTGGTGTGTGAAGACGGATGTCTAAAGCGACAACATTGTGAGCAAAGGTCATCAATTAAGACGGGTGTCAATTGAACACCAATAGCATGGGTGTGTGAAGACGGATGTCTAAAGCGACAACATTGTGAGCAAAGGTCATCAATTAAGACGGGTGTCAATTGAACACCAATAGCATGGGTGTGTGAAGACGGATGTCTAAAGCGACAACATTGTGAGCAAGGGTCATCAATTCAGATTGGTGTCAAGGGGACACCAACAGCATGGACGTGTGAAGACGGATGTCGAGGGGACACCAATAGCAAGTCTCGTATGAAGGCGTGTCTCTAGAGCGACACTATTATCAGCAAGGGTCGTATGAATTAAGACGGGTGTCTAGCTGGGATCATACCACATGTTACAGTTTAATTCAAATATTACTTGCACAATTCTAATTACAAGGGTAATTTGATGTCAGTGAATATACGAACATAGGAAACGGTATACAACATAAGAAGACTATTAGACTAAACTATATTAAAGCTCACTATTGTATGTTCTGAAAGATAAACGCCAGACACATATGTGTTTGTTTATCGTAAGATAATGGGACAGATGCCAAATTCATCTGCATAAATCCACCGGGGATAAGTTGTGATAACCTCATGGAAATGATAGCACTTTCTGACAAAAGGCATTCTTTCTGATTACATCAAGATGGTTTATGGCGTTTGAAAGCACTAAGTAAAGTATTGCCTAGATGTTTTACACAACAAGTCTCTTTATACTCACACCGTCTAGAAATAATCAACTATAATTACAAACGGACCACGTAAGTGCAAATTAATTTTCAAATTCATACATCATTTTATGAATAGTTTCCCAAACCTCTTACACAGTTTTGTAAAACATAACATGAAGTATTGAAAAAGGTAATCACCAGTAAAAAGATCCCACCCATATATGGACAAGACAGAAATAGGACGCACGTGACGTATAACTGATAACAGTCGATCTCA